TGACCATCGGTCTTGATTAACGCGATACTATTCTGCCTCGCTTCTTTCCGAACCTTCGACATCCACGAAATGTCGCGGATCTTTTCGTTTCAGCGTTTCGTTGTGTCTTTTAACCTGTCATTTGTTCCTTTCATTTTCCAGCGGAAAACGCTCAGAGATTTTCCGCTCTGCCAAGCGGAAGACATCTTTTGTTCACGAAGAACCGAATCTCGTCACCTATTCAGCACTGTTATCGTAGCTCGCTTCATTGATGAAATATTCTGTTTGCAAATGTGCGATAACGACAAGACTGTCTTTTAAAAAAGAAGATCCTCGTGCAGGTAGTTTGAATCTTAAAGGTAGATAATCGAGATTTGTAGTTATTATAAATTAATTAAGTTTCAATCCCATCAGTGGATTTATTTCATTCGTGAAGCAGGAAGTGTAGGTTTTCTGGTTAAGTTGAGCTGCTCATTGGTGATTTGTCTGTCGATAGGACGTGGTAAAAATAAATGGACATGAATGGAAGGTTTGATGAGTTTTAGGAATAGTGAAAATTTTATGCTCTTAGATTTGGATGTAAAATTTCTATCCAAATTATTCCGCCATTTTCTATCGAACTTATTCGGATAGCTTAAAATATATTATAGAGTGTGACCTACAAGTCGCTTTTATTTTCTAATGTATACATTTTTTCATACGATCTTAGAAATCAAATGAAATTATTCTTACATGTTGCTCCGTCCTGAAATTTTCCATAAATTTCTAAGGATTAAATTTTCAAAATCAAAAACAAAAGTTGCAAAACGTAATAGAAAAATATTGTTTAATTTTTAAACGATGAAGCGACTTATGGACCGGTATAATCAAGGCTTGATTTAAGATGAACTTACTTTCGAAAATTCTAAGCTCAAACTTTTTCAATAAATGCCTTCAATAGTAACACATCTATTTCATTTTCGAAAATATTCAATTACTTCTTGATCTGATACTTTATTTTCAAACTCGAATACAACATTCATTCCCCGTAAGAATTCTGCTTTCGGCTGTTTAAACTACAGATGCTCCAAACGCAATTGTCGAAGCATCACTTCCCAAATGATCGAAAGTTCCCGGAGAAGCTTAGGTACGCGTTTCCCTTAAACTCAGCTTCCCAGACACGCAAACATCCGCGAGAAAAAGACTTTACGGCGTTTTCACGTTCGACTTTCTATTCGATACGCTCGCACGTACCGCAAATCATTCCGAAATCTTCTAGCAGGACGCGCCGGTGTCCCCCGCACGGTTTCTCGCACGAGGGAGACAGGTTGCGGCGCAAGCGTGCCAACATCGATACCCCACCAGAACTTCCTCCCCCCTCTTCTAGTGCGAGCTAGTCCGAGACGGTTCGGTGGTAGCCGTCAATGGTAGGGTGGAAACCTCTCCTCCAACAGGGAGATGCACACGGTTTCACAGAACGTCCAGAGCCACCTCCACCTTTCTATACGTCCCTCCAAGTCCCTCCAGGTCCCTCCAGCTCTCTGATCCTCGACGCTGAAGCCGGGAACCCCGCGAAGCCGGCTCCATAGTGCCGCGGTACCCGCTAATCAAATCGCACATTCCGAGATCTCGCGGCAGTGTACCACTTTCTCGGTTAATTAGGCCTACCTGAAAGACATTCATTGACCTTCGTTCGAAATTACGTACAACTTCTGTTGGTTGGTTGTACGGTGTAAAATTGGTACGATAATTTACCACAGTTCAAGTGTCTGTTGATATTCTACGATATTGTTGATATAGACAATTTTTAAAACGTATACGGTGATCTTGCTCAGATGAACAATCAACGATAATGGAGACTTAAGAAGCAGGGAATTAAATGCGGAACATCGTCGAAAAAGCGTGATGGAATGATACGTCGTATCGTAGGCAACGTTCGTCGTTTACCATTGAAAGTCGACCGATCGGTGCACCATTTACGGACATTGTGCCAGCGAGGGTGTAGAAAAGGACAGCGGGGAGAGATTAATTGGAACGCGAGGCGGTCGACGTGGAAGATCAGTCACCGGGTGGAATTCGAGGGATTCCGAAGAAAAATCAGACGAAACGCACGGGCCAGGCGAAGAAAGTCATTGGCAGTGGACAGAGCTGGGGATAATCATCGTTGAGTGAATGGAGTGGGGAATCGCAGGCCGATGACGAACTCGAGACGGGTTCGGTGCAGCCGATGCAAGGGAAAAAACACAAGAAGAGCGTGGCAGGACGAAAATCGCGATTCAAGAGCCGTGGAATTCGTCGTTTCTTACCGGTCGCTGCGGCGCGACACGCATTCGACCCGAATCGCCGGACGAAAAGAAGACCCGCGACGAGTAACGCCGGCCGGGTCGTCTGAAAGTATCGCTGCTACGTGATTCATTGGGTTTTTCTCTCTATTGGCATTCGGGATTTACATCGAGCCCGACCACGATTTCCATCGACACGCGTGTAAAAAGCGCACGGCTGCTCGCTGCTGATCAAAGGCGAACGGCCCGAGATAGACGCGGTGCACGGAACAGATTAGAGGATAGAAACTACTAACAAAGCCAGTTGGAGCTCCTATCTTCGTTGTTTCATCTTTCTACCGGTGGTCGTCGTTTTCGTCAGAGAACAGTGCTCCTCGTCGAAGTGGGACGAAACGAAAAGAGCGAGCCTTGTTCGTTTCGACTGCACTGTTGAAATTCATATTAGGATCGGAACGCGACGAGTAAGAAAGGCCATCGCCTTTAGAGGTGGACGTTGAATTATCATTTTGCTGCTTAAACTTTCGATGTATTCGTCAGAAATATACCGGATCGTATACTAAAGTACCGTCGATAGGAATCGATTAACAGGGAGCTACGAAACGTGAGAGGAATATTGAAAAGGGGGAAAAGGGAAAGAAAAAAGAAAATCAGCGGAGTCTCGAAGATTTCAATTTGAAATAACTAGAAACACGATTTATAGCTTCTGTATCAAGGAGACTCGCGACCATGGTATCTCGTGTCAATTATAATGCAACCGCGGAAGCTTTTCAATGCACTTTGCAATGACCGATTACGAAATTATCAAGCGTGAATCACATTGAGACCTCCTGAATAGAGAGAGTGTCTCTCAGGTCAGCCGAAGATAATTACAGTGTCGTCGGGGAACGGCGACAAGCGACGGTACGAGTGAAAAAACGTCGATAAAACGAGGAGAGAAACGGGGGAAGAGTTCGCCGAGTCGCGTCTGCGATTTTATAAAGAAAAAGTGCCGCGATCGGAACAGCATAGCCAAGGTTATGGTCGAGATAAACCGGGACCTGTGGACAACGAGATAAGACGTGGTCCGTCGTTCTGGACTCTCGAGCACGAGAGGGACGCAACGAATGCGCGATTGGCTTCAGGTCCGCTTGGACCTCGTTCGAACTCCTTCAGTGCTATTCCCGATCTCGGCCCGTCGATTCGCCTCACGATCGGACTGCGCAGAAGCGCAAAAATCCTGCCGGAGAATTTCAGTGATGCCGATTATTTGCCACGGTGACACGCGCCTCGTCACTTTCAAGTGACAGTTTTCCTCGAAACGATTTAACTATCGCGAATTCCAACAGAGCAACCAGTTTTCGACCGTCGCTTTTTTGTCTCCTCTACTCATCTCGTCGAGAAGAAAGTTTGTTCGAAGATTCCTCGCTGCGAGCGTTCCGCGATAAGCAAGTTTCTTCACGAAGAATGTAACGTTCGTTTCGAACGAGGAATAACGGTGACTTTACCTTAGCGTACGAAGCGAAAATTAATCGCCGTACAGAATTTGTAAATACTTTTTCCACGCTGCGATAACGCGAGTGATGAATAGAAGGAAACGTTCCGGAAGACGTTTGAGTTCATTGATCATCAAGGACGCGGTGTAAACACACGAGGCACGTGCGCAGCCCGCGAGTTGTTCGCTTTATTGACGGTAAATCGCGGTTTTTCTTTTCACAGGAGCCGCAGACGGGACTATTTACAAACAAGCCATTCAGCCTCGGCTTCTACTAGCGGCGCTCGTAAACATTCGTAAACGTTCGCCGCCGGTACGCGCTCTCAGTGATCTACAAAACAGAGACGTTCGTGGTTGTGTTGCTCGCGTGATACGCGAACGTTGAACTGACAAGCTAACCTCTCTCTGTCCCACAGACAGACAAAGTCATCAGAAGGTGACAGAAGTAAAAGCCTCTCAGCGATCGATCGCGATCGGTGCCTGCTTCGCGACAAGCAGAGATTACGACGGAACTTTGGACAATCGATCGATAAACACACGTTGAAAAATCCATTGTTTTCTTGAACGTGTATTAAAACTGACCAACCAGACTCCTCCAGGTCGAAGAACATCCGGAAGCGACGCACGGCTTCGAGAAGCGAGAAAAGTGTGAGTGTCAGTTTCCGCGCGAACGATCGTGATCTCCAAGCGACGATCCCAGTGTAACAGTTACCCCCCAGTGAACAGACGATTAATATACAATATACGTTTCACTATCGATGAGAACGTTACTTGAAAAGACTCGTTCTTTCCCCAGGATGTTCCAGTGTATCCTGTAAAACAAACTTTCACAGTGACTTTAAAAGTGTAAAATGTGAAATCGTCGAAAGACAAGGGTATTACTGTAAACAAGAATTTTACCATTCCATCGCGGTTCCACCTTCAAACGTTTCAAAGAAACGAAAACAAAACTGTGCTCACGACCACATACCAGTCGTCCGGTACCACTTCGACGTGCTTGGAAGGTGAACGTCGAAGCGGCTACTAGTATCAACAACGTACCCTAAGAAACTGTTGCCGATTGATGCCGAAGGGAAAATAGCTGCGACAGCCTGATCGTGTCTCGTTAGAAGCGAATACTACCCGGCGTCGGTCGGTGTTTTCACGGAGAGTTGCTTCTTGATCTTATACTGGAGCTGTACTTGCCGTATGCACCACTGCCGGGGGGTGGCGGAATCCTCCCGGCGGTGAGCAGCGGGCCCGGTTCAGGAGGGTGTCGTCCTGTACTGTTGGGTGGCGTCGATCTGTCGATGTCGGCGGCGGTGCAGCCGGTCGCGACACTGCCAACTCTGGCGAGTAGCGTTCCGCCGCCGCACAATCCTCTCCACCACACAGCTGGAGGATTGGCGTTGCCTCCGTTGGGCTCGGCGCCGGTGATGATGTCGCGTCCACCGACCAGCACGATGCCATCCTTGGGACCCTCGTTGCCGCCCTCGCATCAGGACACCGCCGACTTGGCCGAAGCTGCGCCCAACCAGGACGTCCTCTTGGCTCTCCTCGCCAGGAACAAGAACTTGGAAGGTAAGGATTCTTTAGACGTTTTTGCACTACGCCCACGGGACCATCCGAGGATCTGAGCGATGTTGCTCGGCCGGACAGGGTTTTATTTATGAACGCGAGCAACCGAAGAGGCTGAGTTAGGGTCGTCGCGGTCCTCACGATAGTTTCGTTTGATTTATGTATGAATTTGGTGCGAGCGATGATTTACAGAGCGGCGATTTTTCATCATTCGTGTGTGTTTCTTTTATTGCAATAGGAGTTATGACGTGCTGGACGACGAAGGAGGTGTTCGAATGGAAGCTCGACGGTTGATCTTGAAATAATAGTACTTTTGTGTTTTAATTGGTAACAGAAGCGTTGTAAGTGATTTTTTTTTTAAAAAACAGTTTTGCTAGGTATTTTGGTTTTGTTTACAGTGGTGTAAATGTTTAATCGATACTAGAATTCTGTGGATCTGATAAAAAGTGTAACCTTGTAAGGAATACGTACTTGAGATATGCTAATGTTTCCATGCTCTTATGTTAAAAGTGGAAAATACAAATTGTGATATTCGTGACCGTATATAGATTGTAGATGTAGATATTAATCGTATTTACCGCATAACCTGTTCTAAATCGACATCGATACATGTAAATTCAATTTGGTTATCAGGCTGAAACTTCTTAAGATCCTGAACGTGCAGCGAATGAAGCCCAATTTGATTCTACTTTTTTTGGAGATGTGTGGAGTCTATTTTTGGTAGAGAGTTTATGTCTCTCACGTGCTCTGTTATCATTCTTCGAGAGTTTATAGGCATTCCCGAAGTTAGGTAACGATTATCGTTCTACCCGTTAGGCTGCATAGAGTTTGCCTCGATCTCGAATTACAATTTCGAAGAGGAGTATGTACGACGCAATTTATTGCAGAAATGAATTTTACTGGAGCTGAGATTACGTTATCTCTCCACATAAAAACATATCTGAATTCATAAAATAATGTTACGTACTTTAACAGGTTAAAACAAGTTGACACTTGTTGTCATAATTCACACGTAGTAGTTCTTCAAATAAATACAAGTTTATCATTTTTTCAATACCGAAATAGACATGTTTTACATTTTATGACCATCGTGCAATTTACAACGAAACTTATTCATAATTTTTATACACTTGAATCATTTAACCTACACATGGTAAAGAATGACAGATTGTGTGTGTAATAATTAAGGAAAATAAAAGTGTTTCACAATGAAAGACACGAGAAAAGATATTCCGTTGGTGCTTCGATGAAAATTTCGATGGAAACGCTAAAATTTTGAACGCAAATACTAAAAAATAATAAAAATTCACCTCTATTTACCATCCAAACTAATTGGCTACTTTCAACGATGCGAATTCACGAACGAAGAGTGAATTATAGAACACGTCTTGAAAGTCAAGTTCAATGTCGAGCAAGTGAGTTTTCGTAAAAAATCGGTCGAGAGGATTGTCAAAAAGAACATGTCTCAATTATAATCGTAGATTCATAGCAGCATCTGTAGATAAGAAGCTCTTAGCCCCGATACTTTTCCTCCGCTATCGCAACTTCTTCTACATAGTATCGAGTCAGGTTAAAATTTTTGTACGATATTACGCGAACAGTGGCAAGTTTTCGATAAGGATGATCGATCCGAATGATCGATAAGATTAACGCTCACCTCGAGAACGCACGATTGTCACATTTGGGCCAGCTTTTATATCGATTTGGAAATATTCGAATTTTATTAATAGAAGAAACGCAACGATGAGAATTTCAATCGATATTATAAAACTGATACCGAGTATCGAAAATTTCGGTTCGATTAAAAAAGAAAATACAATTTTAACGAAACCCAGCAAAATAATATTTATATGTGTGTGTATAAATACGATTTGGTAGTTCGTGTTATCGTTCGAAAGTGACATATTATTTTGTCATTGTATTATAGATTAAATCAAATTAAGAAGTAGCTTATAGTCTGTTGATCTGCTTAATTGGGCGTTTACAGGTACGAATTCACTAGTTGCAACGCGTTAGTATCTGCATGGAACTGCGTGATTTAATCTCTCAATCAATGGAATAAATTGCGATTGTGACAGTAGCGTAGAACGTGTCGTAGTGGTAACTTAGTTGACACAGGATTCCTGATAAAAATTCGTGGAAGGGACTGAAATTTATTACTTTTCAAACTTCCACATGTAACACAGTGGATCAACGGAATCAATGAAAAGGGGTACCGTTAATTGATTGTCGCGTTGAAAATTGGCGGAAAATCGAGACAGTAATGTTAATTAAGAAGGCTATTAACCAAAGAAGAAAAAGGAACATTCGATAAGTAATGAAATGAAATGATAAATAATAAAATAGTACACTGTTATGTTACCTTAATAATGAAATTATTTTGTGTCAGAAATTCTTTTAAAGACAAGAAGCTTTGTAAGTTCGAAATCAAAATTTCTCTTAACTAACTAGAAAAAATTTATGGACAGAAATAATTATATCATAGAAAATATTACAACATGCAGTGCTTACGTATAGGTGTACTTTAATGCAAGAGAAGTTGTTTTAGGGAATTTGCATGATTAATTTTCGAAGCGTGCGATTCTACAGTGTACTGTCGATTCATCATGGAATATTTTCTGCCGTGTTATCGATGTTCTATGCGTAACCTCTTGAATTTGGAAATGTACTATGTACTGCCATTTCACTATGACATGTTATTCATATTATTTCTGAAAAATCATTTGGTACATAATTTACGCATAGGTGTATTTATGTAATATACACAAATGTGATTTATTTTACGAGTTACAGTTGAAAGATTACATGGCTCTGTCCTGTATTTGACAACCACCTGCTTAGAGTAACTATCCAATTTCGTTTTCCTTTTCCTTCCAGCGTATCTTCGAAAGTGTCTTTGAAATTTTTGAATAGAAAAATACACATATGGAAAATATAAATAGACAATTGAATAACTTCAAATTAAATTCATTCGGACACCGAAGGCTCCGAAAGTACAGTTTCGAAATCGAACGGAAATTTTAGTAATAAATCCCTAGTTTCAGAAGATTACTTCTGAAATAATTTTTTGAAAAATTTTAAGTTCCAGCGCTTACAGTATTCGTATCTATGAAAAAAATAAGAAATTATTTCTTAATACCTGCAGTGTCTTGAAAATAAGTCACGCTGTATATTAACGCGTCGTAATAACAAAAGCTTCTCACGTGTAACAAATTACTCTGTGTGAATAATTCAGACATTGTTATATCTTTTCTCCTCGTTCATTTTTGCTGTAAAATAAAAGAACGTTAAGATTTTATTGAAACATCGTACTTTTCTCTTAGAATGCAGTTAATACATTGAGTCCTAAGATATAATAATTATTTTCAATAAAAATTTCAAATACGTAATTTGTATCACGATGTAGGAAATTAATTAGCGTATTGATGAATTAGAAATCGTTAACAAATTAACGTTAGTATATCTTGCGGCAGTATTGTCATTTCTGAAATATTGTTTCATTAACAAATATCAAGTATTGTTTCTTTATACGTCTAAATTGTCAAAAATTTGCAATTCTTTTCACTTCAGTTGTGCAGGTATGCTTCCTGAAGCAGGTTAACACCTGAGTTATTTATGCGGTCGATTTCTGTGAGTAGAACAAGGTCGAAGATTTCTTTAATTATGAATACTCCACCGGAGATTCCTTCGTTTCACTGATATATTTCCATTTTCTACCCTTGAATATTTTTTATTGCTCCGTTTGAAAATTCCCGATTTACGACGTAAACAGAATTAAATGCAGCAAAAAGATTTGTGTCTTTATTCGAGTAAAGGAAAGTGTGACTGTAAAGTATCTTTGTTCGATCAATCTTTCGTACGTTGGTTTGAACTACTTGGGAAAATGTTTCCTCGGTTTTATTAATTTCAAAAATGAAACATTTCAAATTGAACAATAAGAATGTTTGTGAACGAATTTCGAAAACAACAACGATTTCAATAACTACGATAGAATGGATGAGTCTGTTAGATTTTAAATAAGCATAAAAAATGAATTCCCTTTTGCATTACATTTTAATTCTGATGAATTATACGTGAGCAAACATTTTCATAGCACTAATTTGAGTTTTACTCAAATTTTAATAGAGATACTATATTTAACATAATTTACGTATTTATAGAGATTTGCCTAACCTACTAATTATGCAAACGGATAATTTATCAAGATCTCTAATTTTATAACTCAATATAAACCTCGAGTATATATACACTTCTGCTTTGATTAAAATTAAACGCAAATCTGCTATCGAATTAAATTTCACATGAAATAGTCGCAAATAAATTGGGATATTGATAGATTGCAATAATGTTAGAAATGTTCTTAAAAATAAACTTTCACTTCGCTTCTAACGTTAACGTAACAATTTTTCTAAATTTTCACTGCATTATACTTTGAATTAACAAATAACCAGTCTCATAATATTTCATATGAGAGACTTTATTATTTCTATTAACTCAAAATTAGCGTATCAAACGATACTAATTTTATACCGTGAGACGTACGCCATCCTCCTCAACCTCCCCCAAATTACAGTGTCACCTATTTAATTTGCAACCAGGATAAGAAGGAATACTGAAACTTTTTCTATTTTTCAAAGTATTCTTTCAAAAGATACTAATTTAAACTGTGAAACGCAACCTCTCTCCTTCCCAAAATTCCAGTGTCGCCTACTTAATTTGCAACCAGAACAGGAAAAAATATTGAAACCTCTTCTTCCTTTGGAAGTATTTTTTCGAAGGATAGGGTAATTCCGGGAGAGACGGACCAGGCAAGTATTTCCTACATCGGCAAATGTGGAACGCGTCAGTATTCTTTTGTTTTACATTTGTTTTACGGAAAGCGATCGAGCGTGGCTCTCAGTGTTTCTTCTTCCATATCTGGCGGATAATGTAGGAAATACTTGCCTGGTCCGTCTCTCCCGAAATTACCCTATTAACCCCTTAACATATGACAACGTGTCAGA